AGAAAAAGAAAAAAATTTCTATTTGGCTTGATTTGTCGTTTTTATTTTGTTTTTGTGAACAACTTTTTCTGGGTTTATTGATGAGGAAAGCTTTCATACGCGTTTGAACAGACTAATAAATCAACCCTTTTCTTATCTCACAATTATTTTATTGAAAAGCTTTCTTATTTACAGGAAACTGTTCTTGTTCAGCTTTTTTGTTTGTTTTTAATTTCTGTTAAAATTTCTGTTGACGTTCTTTCCTTGTCAATAAGAAGGGATAAGAAATTTAGAGACATGGGAAAGCATGGACCTTGCTATCACTGTGGTGTTACAAGTGAGATTTCCTGTCTAAGGAATATCATTCTTCCCAAATTAATTGATTAAATGATCTTAGCAATTCAGTTTGTACTCCTGGGTTTTGTTTTTGTGTTTGATTTATTAATCAGTTTTGCTATGAATGTTAATCCTCTTGCATAATGATGTACTGAATAATACACTAGAGACTGAACATTGAACAATACAAATTCACATATGCTGTTTGTGCTTCATGTTCATGTGTTTTGTACCGGTATCTCACCCTTGTACTTAAAATCATAGAAACCTATTTCAAAATTATTGATCCTAATGCATTGGTATATCCCAATGATATACGCGCCAACTCTATCATCGTTATCTTCTCACCAAGTTCCTTGATGATACCTGGACTAGTTTGAGAAGTCATTTCATTGTTGTACATTTGTTCAATACTGGTTTTGCAACTCTGCCCCAGTGCTTTTTCACTTATTGTTTCGAAATGAGAGTTCGGAGGTTCTCCATTTCTGATGAACTTCTACGAAATTCTCCAATGTTTGTCTTTGTCAGATTATTATTTTGGAGATATTGGTTATCAAATAGTATATATCATCCATGAAATTTTTCTGCATCATGAACTTAATGCTTATCACTCATTTCTTGCTTGTCTAGCCATTTTCTTTCATTTCTCATTGAAAATTTTTAATATTTAGCTTGTCTCATGGTGTTTGCTATGTCAATATTTGTATGATACTGTCCATTTTTCTTTTATTTCCTTATAACAAGATTTAACACGACTTGTTATTAACCCGTGTTTTCTCAACAGGCACTCCCCTGTGGCGTAATGGGCCTCCTGACAAGCCAGTACTCTGCAATGCGTGTGGTTCGAGGTGGAGAACAAAAGGAACTTTAGTAAATTATACACCTCTGCACTCGAGAGCTGAAGGCGACGAGATCGAGGACCGCAGGTTTTCTAAGGTGAGAGCCTTAGCAGTTAAGAACAAAGAGGCAAAGGCTCTCAAGCGCAAGTATGAAAGTGATGCTCCTCTCGATTATAATAATAACCAAGGATTTCGTAGAGTGTTTGATGAAGATACTAGCAATCGGTCGAGCTCTGGCTCTGCTATTTCGAACTCCGAGAGCTGTGCGCAATATGGCAGTGTTGATGCAAGTGATTTAACTGGTAATTATTTTATTTTTCTTTTTTTTTTGGGCCGAAGAATTTTAAATGACTGATTTAAAAAAATGGAATTTTTATTTGCAATGCGCAAAGGCTTATCCCAACCTGTCGTATGGGATTCGACAGTGCCCTCGAGAAAAAGGACATGCGTGACTCGTCCAAAGCAGCCATCTCAAGTAGAGAAGCTTACTAAGGATTTGTATACAATATGGTACGAGCAGCAATCTTCATGTCTGTCTGTAACCTCAGAGGACGATTTGCTTCTCGACAGTGATAAACCTATGGTTTCGGTTGAGATTGGCCATGGGAGTGTGCTTATCAGGCATCCAAGCTCGATTGTTCGAGAGGAGGAATCGGAAGCTAGCTCTCTTTCTATTGATAATAAGAGACGTGTTCTGAGTACGCAGCCTGTGGCTTTTCCCAGTCTTGTGGAGGACAGATGTGTTAATTTATCGAGGGCTGGAATTGAGAAAATTCCGAAGCCTGCTTCTAATACAGGGACGAAAAAGGAGCAAATTAAAAGGTATGTTCGTGTTGAAATAAGAATTACTACTGAAAGGACTGATGAAACTTTGTATTGATTAGTTTGTGTTTTTGTTGATATCTTCAGAGACAAGGATCAACCTGAAAAATTACTGATTTTGGCGCATCATAATTCACCTCTGGGTCACATAGACTTGCAAGTAAGTTTGATAAAACACACACTTTTACTTGGCATTTACTTCTTTGAACAACTTTGAGCTATTCATCAACTTATAAAGTTCTCTATGGAGATATCCTAATAAAATGGAAGCTAATGTCCACATTCTTTTACTTAAACTTGCTCTTGTATTGAGCATTTATCCATTGTTTAGTTTCAGCACTGAATAACTATTTGAATATAATTCCCTCATAACTAACCATCATTGTTTAATTTAATACCTTTTCTGATCACTAAACTTGAAATGAATTTAAATTCCACCAGAGTTTAAGGCTTTTATGATTAGTTACAAAATCCCTGGCTGGCTGCATTTTATGCAGGAAATTGTAAATTTCAACAAGTTCGTGAGTCATTTCACAAATGATGAACAACAAGAATTGCTAAAGCTTTTACCTTGTGTTGACACTTCAGAAGCTCCAAATAGGTAAGAATTACTCTTCAGCTTACTACAATTTGAGTATCGGGATTTGAGATTTAAGAATTACTCTTCAGCTTACTACAAGCTTTTTATCAACGTGTTACAAAAAAATTAGTAGATTTTTTATTGTGATCTGGGTTTCATTTTTTTTTTTTTTTAACTCATCGCATAAACCAGAAAGCATTTTGTAGCATAGCCGAAAAAAGCTGACATCTCTCTAACTCATATTCGATTGCAGTCTTAGAATCATGTTTGGCAGCCCACAGTTCAAGGAGAACTTGTCCTCCTTCCAGAAACTTCTTGCAGATGGACTCTTTGACAACACTTTATCCAGTCTGCCGAAAGAAGATTGTAAAGTTGTGAGGAAACTTGTGTTGTGCAATTTGAGTAAATCGAAATGGGTGGAACAGTATAAAATCTGTAAGGTACTCGGCGAGAACCTTGTTATAATTATCTCAAATTAAACAGAGCAGTAATTTTGGGTTAGAGTATATTCTGAATCCTTTTTTTTTTTTTAATTTTCCTTGTAACCATGCAGGAGTCGAAAGGTAAAGGTGCCTTTGATGAACCAGAAGCCGTAAAATCAAATGCACTTGCTACTGATTCTTCACTTAGTGTGACAAGGCCACGAGATGGGGTCCACCAAAAGTTTTCAGGTGAAGTGTGGATTGATTGATAAAATGTTATTGACATAATCACTCTTTATGCTTGATTCATATTGATATTTCTTTCATTTTCTTCCTTCCATTTTCTTTTCTTGGAATAATTTGTTAACTCTCTCTCTCTCTCTCTCTCAGGGCAAAAGGCGATGATTAAAAGTCCAAAAAGGATAGTGATGAGGTCGAGCTACAATGAGGAAGTGAAAGTAGATAAAGGTCGCTCTTTCTTGAGTCCAAAAAGCCTATTTTGTTCAGATTTTGGTGATGAGAACTGTGAACAAGATTTGCTGCTCGACGTTCCATCTAATGGTTTGTTCCCACAGGCTGAACTCCTCCCGAGTTCCAGTTTCGGTGCACAAGCAAGCACCACAAGTAGTACTTCATTGTACCCATACTTAGGCCATCCCTGAGCGGCTTGCTTCTCAACAGTTGGGTTTTCTTGAAACCCGACTTTTTGTCTGTCTTTCCCTTTGTTTTTTTTTTTTATACAAGTCTGGTTGGTGAATTGGATGTCGGTTTCGCCTCATGCCAGGGAGTAGCAAATTTAAAGATGATTGATAAGAAAAGGGATTGCAATGGATTGATCTTC